ACAACTCTCATCTATTTCAAAGTTTTTTTCTCTCTTGATGATCTTTACTATTAAAGAATATTCTACATTGTAATGACCGTTTTATTTGAGCTAGCAAAATATAATAATCAATTATCCATGAAAAAAAAATTTAATTGTTGACTGGTCTCATTACAGTTAGGATATGTCAGACACAGAAAAAAGATTGATTTGTCGAAGAATTTGTAAATAGTTCACAGATACTTATTTCACAAACAGAAAAAATTATGGAATCAACAAAAAATTTGCTCATACTTTTATTTATAACTAGTTCTTTTTCCCGTGACTGAAGTAAGCAGCCGATTCGTCTATTATGCGTTTCAGATAAGTTCCAAGCACAATTCAACGAGCTCTATCAAATGGTGGGCTCAGATTTTTCGGAGCTCAAAGTAAATTATTCTCGGTTTGGGTGGCGCCATCTGTAAACCAGAAAAACTTATTTTGAGTTACGAATAACCTGAGCAGACTATTCGTAGAGCTCGTTGAGTTGTGCTTAGAGCAAGCATTGGAACGACTAGGACAGGTTCATAGGCGAATCACCGGTGGAAATACTTGAATCGACTGCTTACTTCACTGACGTCATTTTAATTCGTATACTATATTTGATTTGAGTAGTTTACTTGATTTACCATAGTATGGTATACCTAGGTACACTTGTTGTTTTTTATTTCACCTTTATTTTCAGATAAAAATATTTGTAACCACACCACACCCACACCCTTATTTAGGTTCAAACATTAGCTTTAATTGAACAAGAGCAGTATGAACAGTCAGGTAAGATACGACAAGATCGATGATTTCACGCTTTCTTTATTATTCAAAAATTGAATTGGAACGTAGATTAACTACATTTGTTGTTGAAGCAACAGCAGAAAAAGAGATGACAAACAATATTATCATCGTGGTAATTTTATCATTTTTTAAAGTAATTGATCCATTTTGTTTTAATATGAATTTTTTTGCTTTAGATCTTGAAAGAAAAAAATTTAAACACAGATGTTATATCTGAATATTTATGAGGGTGGGGTGGGTGTGAGAATGTGGGTCCATGGGTGTTGGTGTGTGAATGTGGATGTGGGTATTCTATGCATCCCAATCACACTCACACCTACCCTCACCGATCCTCGAGATGGCAATACTGCTTCCATAAAATCTCGGGAATAACACGGAACCGGCCGTTTCCGTGCCGGATTGTTCGAACTGGATTGTATATATCTACGCGTCGGCAAGAACAACAAGATTATTCGATGAACATCTTGAGGGTGTGGGTGTGGGTGTCTAAAGAATAGAATACCCGCCCACATCCACAAGCAATATATTCAAAACGATATGTATTCATCAGAGTCAAATTTACAACGACAAGAGACAATCAAATTTATTTTGTGCACATGTGTAAATCATGGCCTACGGTTAATGCCGCCTATCATACCTTACCTTGCTGAAGAACTCCATCAACGGTTATCTAAGCCGAATAACGGACAAATTACATCACATAGTATTTGTACCACCAATTATTTTCAAGTAAAACTTACTCTTTCAAAAATATTTTTTTTTGTTCTTACCATTTACACAAATTTATTTTCATCCAATGTTTGAGGATGCAAGTAAACGTGAAATGTCACAAAGTTTAGAACATGATATTGATTCACTTAATCTTATTCATGGTATGTCATCAGAAAAACTTCAAAATTTCAAAAGAAGATTATCCATATTGCATTAAAGGATGTAGAATTGATATATTACGCTTTGCTTGTTGTGATAATTCTACTAAAGGTTATTTAAATTGATTAAATGTTTTATATATATTTTCTTTATATCATTTAGATCAGTATATTAATTTGGATAAATCTAATCTTGAAGAAGCTCGGACTTTTTGTGATGAAATTTGGGTAATTATACAATCTACAATGTCAAAAAATTGAGATATAAACGATCTAGAGTGTTTTCAACCACCAGCAAAATTCACAGTAATAAAGAAGATATTTCAAATGAAATAAAAAATTTTATTTTTTTTAGCTTACTGGTACAGAAAAATCATGTGATTTATGGATATTAAGTCGATTAAATTATTCTCTTTCTCGTAGAGAAGAGTTCAGTAATCATAAATTATTTGCTTGTATGTCCGTAGGGTCAAAAAAACATCGAAAAATAATTTTTCGAAAAAGACTTTTCTAGAGGTATTTCTGTACGGGGAGTTCGAATCTGAGGTCAGTTGGGTCACCACGGCTAGGGGTGGGTGGGTATGGGTGTAAGGTCAAAAAACCATCGAAACTCAGCTTTTGGGAAAAGACATTTCTTGAGATATTTCGATGCTGAGACTTCGAATGTGCGCCACATTTGCTCCGACTACTGAAGGGGAGGGGAGTTTGAATTGGAAAAAGTGGTGTGGACTGATAGAAATCCATTTTTTGGGCAGTGCATTTTTATAGGTATCCAAATGTTCCCCTGGTTGTAGCGCAGAGTATGGCGACCATAATCGGCTGGCTTTCTTGCGTATAAGATTGCTAACACTTCACTTATTCATTAAAGACTAGTTCGAGAAGCCATTAATGCCGACAGCTCTAATATGTTTTAATCTGCGTTTACCGCTGAATAGGATGCGAGTATTTGCTAAGAGTAAGGAACAACAAACGAGAGCAAGGTTTTCAATTGTTTATCCAGTAAATATGAAGAGGGTGCATTTCTACGAGAAAGAGGTAAGCGAGTCATCGGACGAGCGTTACTTGTACAATTGAACAATGTCAAACTAGTTTTAATGAATATAAATTCAAGAAAATAACAACAGCTATGTTTAGTTTTTGGATGAATGATTTTTCTGATTTTTATAAGCAACGTATTCAAAGAGATATGCATACAACACAACCAAATTTAGAAAAACAAACGACAATAAAATGTAATTTGTACATGTGCTTACATAACGACTTACGATTATCAGCTCCTATTATGCCTTTTATGTGTGAAGAACTGTTTCAGCGCTTACCAAAGCTCAATAACGGACAAATTAGATCAAATAGTATTTTTACCACCAACTGTTCTCAAGTAAAACTTACTCTTTTAAAATTATTTATTTATTTTTTTTGTTCTTAGTATATTTACTATCGAAACATTCAGTTGGAGATGAACATAAATACAATTGATCAGATGATGAAAGCAATAACAGCTTATCACGAAAAAGAAGACCGACCAGACGAGGTCGAAGAAGAAACGTGCAAGTTCAATAAGATTATAGACCCAAACCCTTAATAATATAAAACTTTTTTTAATATACGTCTACGGGTCGGAAACAACAGCTCGATTATTCGCTTGTTTACTAATATCAGCTGTATTCAGCGAATAATCGATCCACCCGTAGACGAAACAAAATATACAAACATAGTATCAAGTTTAGGATACAAACCGTACCTTAAAACAAAATAAATTTTTTGTTTAAGGTTCAGTTTGTATCTTAAATTTGATACTATGTTTGTATATTTTCTTTTTTTATTTTCATTTTTTTTAATGTAAGATGCAATCGTTAATACATGTTTGATCTCACTAGTGCACAATATCATGAACATTGCCCACTTTATGCTAAATGGTATCACAATGACGTGAATATTTATTCTTCATTGTTTTATCGAACGGCAATGAGAAAAATAGACATGTATATATAAACTAATACACTGTAAATCAATGAATCAAGTATGAATGTTTCAAATAAGAAACATCTCAATATACTTGATTTGCCCAATGAAATTTTATTGATAATTTTTAACAAACTAAATATGGTTGATGTTCTCTATTCACTCGTGGATGTTACTCAACGTTTTGATCAATTAATATTTGATCCATTTTATATTCATAATCTTGATATGACTTCTATGATGATGATGAAATCATTTTATAATTGGATCTATTCAATAGAAGATAAAGTTCTTGATAGAATATGTAAAAATATTTTACCTCGAGTTCATTATCAAATAAATGAACTTATTATTGAACAAAATTCACTCGAACGTGTTCTTCATACTATCGATTATCCTCAACTTTACTCTTTATTACTTATGGATCTTACAGAAGAAGTTCTTCTCAAATACTTAACAGGTAAACTATTTAATAATATTTTTCTTTCTTTTTTTTATTTCTCAGTTGAAGATAATACAACTCTTCGAAGACTTCTTAGTGAACAAATTACATGTCTTAAACTTGTTTTTAAATATGACACAACACTATCAATTTCTGGAACTTCTTCAATTATATTTGCGTTGATTTTATCTCTATGTAAACGATTAGTCAAGTTAAATTTTTATGAATTCTTTGAGCGATCAATAATTTGTACTTTTGAGATATCATCAATGAATTGTACATCGTCAACTTTGACTGAATTGGTGATTGATATAAAGACTTTCGATGATTGTCTTTATTTACTCGATGGACGTCTCAACTGTTTATCAAAATTGATTATTTATATCCTAGAAATTGCAAATACAATAGGAACTATAGATAACACAGTGAGTATAATTGTCAATTACTGTTGTTCGAGAAAAAGACACAGTGAATTTAATAGATAAATATGCTTTGTTTTCTTTTTTTGTATTTTTTCATAGAAAAAACTTTCCAAATTGAAATACTTTTCATTAATGTCGTATCGACGCACAGTTTGTTATGATAATCTGATTATTCCATTACTGCGACGAATGATAAATCTTGAAGAATTGATATTATTTTTATCAATCATAACTGAAAAAAATTATATTGATGGTATTCAATTATATGATTCAATTCTTATTTATATGCCACGATTAAACAAATTTAGTTTCAGTATAGATACATACATAGCGGAACACAATATTGAATTTGCTCTTTCATCAAATGAAGATATTCAACGTAGTTTCATTAGAAAAGAATATGGATCAGTTTATTCACAAGTTGAAATATTTCCAAGAGAATACAAAAGAAGATGCACCAGTTGGTCACTTCCATATAGATTCGAAAGTAGATGTCACATCTATTCACTTCCATACCAATTCAAAATGTTATTTTTTTTAAACAATTCTTTTCAAGGTGGTTTATTTAATAATGTTCAATCGTTGATAATGGCTGACTTTCGTCCTTTTGAACATGGTTTCTTCAAAATCATCTCTCAAAGTTTTCCTCTATTGAAAAAGTTGTATATACTTAATGATGAACCGCAAAAACACAAGCAACAACCGCGAAAATGTATAATATTTTCTCATCTTGTTTTGCTGTTCCTTCATCGTGCTCATGTAGATTATGCTGAACAATTTCTCTCCGAAAAATACTGTTATTTACCTTCTTTATTGGATCTTAGTGTTGGTTATAAATCCCTCGCACTGGTTACAAATAATTTCACCAATGATGAAACACGTGTCTCGTGTAGTAAATTGACCGCTCTTCATATTAAGGAGCCGTTTGTACTTCCAATAAATTTTCATGAATATTTTCCTTTATTGTAAATGTTTTTGTTTTTTGTTAAAACTTCTGTCAAGGGTGTGGATGTGAGTGAGAGAGAAATAATCACATCCACACTCACCATCAAGTTGTTCACTTCTTAAATAAGATTAGCAAATTCTTTAGAGGTAATAATGATAATGTGTTCATTTCGACATTGCAAATATTGTGTATCGACTCAATATATTATATTTGAATGATAAATTAATGATTTGTTGCATTCTACATTTGTTTCTTTACTCGATGCCATCATCTTTTTAAATTTTATTTTCATCGTATATTGATTCACGACGTCTGAATAGATCTTTAACAGTCATAACGTTCGCGATGTATATTTTTTTGAAGAAAAACAAAATAAAATACACATACTTCGTGTAAATTACGTAGCGAATTTCAAAGACACTAGGTTTGATGAAGATTTGAGTATCAATAGAAAAAATCTATGTCTTGAGAGTACGACTGTTGCTTTCACCTGTTATTCTTCATCACACCCGCATCCTCTCTTGCTCTATTCTGTATTTTTCGAACAGTATTTGTTTAATGAAAAAGTTTCAGTTTCGCGAGACAAAAATATCAGCCTGTATAAAATATATAAAAAGTACTCTCACAACTAGTTTCGATCTTACTTAAAAAACTTTTTATTCGGATGGCGGATGTGGGTGTTGTTTTCATCTGTTATTCTTCATTACACCCACACCCTCAAGACATGAATAAATCTTATATTGCTACTGTTTTGTAAGAGACAATAAAAATCGTACTGATTAGTATTTTCAGATTTCATTCGTAATACTATAATGTTATTTTCACAGATACAAAACGTTTATTTTCATAAGATAAAAAAGGTCTATTTTCATAAATACAAAAAAACATCTATTTTTATAGATACAGAAAAAAAAGGTTTATACTAAATATTTATCAAATCCAATACGATGTTTCATTGGTACTTTTGCCATAATTATATCTTTTACTGTTATTAAATATCTTTCATAATCATCATCATATATCATTCGTCCAAGAAAAATTGCTTTTTTGGCATATTTCAAAGCATCTTCCCATTTTTTCAACATACAACATGGTAAAAGAATACATAAATGTAACAAAAACATTTGTATTAAACTATTATGATAATGTTCTTGTACGAATTTTACTGATTTTAAAAATCTTTTTATATGTTCTTCTGATACTTTCGAATCAAAATCCATAATATAATCATAATTTTTTGATAAAGAAGCATATAGTTCATCAAGTTCTTTATCTTTTTCATGTTGTTCACAAACATAACATTGACATTTGAATAACCAAGTATATTGTAAAAATTCATGTCGTCGTTGACGTGTTTGAAATCGTTCTATATACAAAATAAACAGAAAAAAATCAGTTTAAAAAACATTCAAATATAAAAAAAAATTTTTGGTGTATCCAACTATAACTATATAATTACCTATATATGAACAGACAAGCTCTTCACCAGCTTTGATACGACGATCAGCAATTAATTTCATTTCTTGTTTATTATTATAATCAAACCATATCCAAAATGTATTTGATTCACATGAATGATTGACCATTGATATATAATAAAATACACCTTTTTCTTCAGAACCATGAGCCAATGGAATACTATTTGTTTCACATATACTATCGAGAGGATGTTTCCAAGGTTTAGATGCACTTAAAAATCGAATACGACGTTGGGTTTCTGAATCTAATTTATCATAGATTGCTTCTAGAAGCCATGGCGGCGAACCATTTGGATATTTCATTAATGGTTTTTCACATACAATAATTGTACCACATTGTAAATCACGTTTGGCAAACATCCCATAGCCTTTACCAGGTATGGATTTAATAACAAATAAATCTGATTGTGGATCATCGATAACACGGTCGGTAGAGTTATGCATCTTAATCTAGAAAGAAATAATAAATGTTAATACATACTCATCAAACGCTAGAATTTCATTTTTTGCTTAAATTTGCGCTTAAATTTATCTTTTAGTCGGAATAAGTTATGGAACTACGACTAAGAGTTGAACTCAAACATAATTTATCCTACAAGATACGATACTAGACGAGTTGGATGATCATCACAAATCTGATGTATGAAATCAGTTATGACAAGATTGATCTAAAAAGAAAAAAAATTATTTATCCGCTCGAGAACTTGATTTTCCTTACATAAATTAATTGTATGGTCCACAATGCAGATGAGATTCGTGATCAACATCAAAACTTATCCAGAATCAGACGTATTTTCTTACTAACTTACGCATAAATGGACGATAAATAAGAAATGAATTCAAACGTAACTATTTCCTTGATTTTAGTCTATGGTAGTACAAAACCGTTATCATGTTCAAATATACGAAAGAACGAAGAAAGGAAAATATGGATAAATAGTTAGTCGACTAAACTTCCATGGACGAATCAACGAAAAAAGAGAATTCATAGAGGGCACACGTTGGTCTCTTCGTCACTCACACCCACACCCACCCTCGATATCAGTAGTACACGATAAAATGAAAGAGAATCAGCATTCTTTATAGTAAGAGATATATCATGCCATAACAATACCATTAAGACAAGTATGTTTTAAACTTGTATACTCCATTGAATGAAAATTAATATTTTATAGAGTTGTATTGATTGAACTGATTGTTTAGTATGAAAAACAACGCGACATAAACGATGAAATGATTGAAGAGTAAAGGAATAATATATTGCACAATTGGATGCCCATAAAAAATAAGCACGAATTTGACAATAAATTCTATCAATCAATGAGTTTATTCAATAAATATGTCCTGGTAAAATACGAACATACTTTTTTAGAAGTAATATATAAGAAAAAAGCATCACTGAATGCGTGTTCGCTGTTAAAAGAAGTGTAGATGAATTTATTTTGAATTAACCGGCAAAATCAATTTTGCACTAATGAAGACTCATTATATTTGTTTAAAAAAATAATTAACTATCATTCTTTATTTTATAGATCTATTACATATGAGAATTATATTCAAGCAGATTTAATTTTATATAAATTTTTTTCAATTATATACCTATCTTATATAAATGAAGAAAAGAAAATCTACATCGCCTGTTTCTATTAGGTGTAGTCATAGTTTCAAATTTTCTTTCAGGTCTTCGATACGTATGGCAACATTATACCTATACTCATCCTCACAGAGAAATGCTTTGAATAGATTGTGTACTTCAACATCGAGGCTCGGATGTAGAGCAACAAGGGCATAGATTTGAAAAATGGCACATCCACCACAACCTTTGAGAAACATTCGTAAAAATGAAAGCGAGGTACCAGCGTGGATACGTTGAGTAATAATAGCAAATATGATTTCATAGAGACCCGGTGATGTAGATTATGTTGTTTGTAAAAATAGTTGATGGAACAATCATGACATAATATGATTGCTATATCTTCTGTACGTCGGCTCTGAAGTGGATTCAAATACTGAACAACTGTTTCGTTATCTGTAAATGCAGGTCAGTCATCATCATAATTTGTAATCGTATTCAAGACCCTTCTGGATTTTATCAGAAGAGTTTTCGATCTTTCGCTTTCTCTCCTCCTTAATGAAGCAGAGTAGAGAAGCTAGTGCTACTGTTGTAAAACGAGAACAATTCACACAAGTTTAGTGAATAAAGACATGTTATTATACTTTTGAAATGACGTTTATTTATAGACACAGTATAGAGTAGGACAGGACATGATTATTGATCGATGATATATTAATTAATCTCTATCTGAGCATAACTCAAACTAATTTTCGTATCAGACATTTTTATCAATCGTAAAAAAAGATTTTGTACCAATCCGTACACTAATAAAATCAGTCTTATCGACTGACTGAGAATACCGAACATCCATCAACACCACCATGCTCTCGAAAAAGTTGACCCATATATTAGTTCAGTGCAGACGAAAGAGTATCGTTGAAAAATTACACAGTCAACTATGACGAGTACTCAAAGGATCTTTTTCTGATAAGATAAATTTGGTTTGTTAGTATCTAATCATTTTTTCCATCATTATACAACAGAACCCACTGGAGTTATAACTCGTATAAAAAAGTGAGTTTTTTTCTACAAAACCTTATACATCATTTTCTTTTGAATTTCTAACATAAACGTATTGTAGGGTCAAAAGTGAGTCGTCCTTACTGTTTTTTTTTCTTGTTCCGATCTGTATTTCACTGTTATATCTAAAAGCATCTGAAATATTCCTATAGATTTGGATAAAGCAAAGAAAGAGCTATTCAATAAGTATAAAACAATTGACTCTAAAGAAGCAACCAGCCTTCATTTCAGTCATATAAGATATTCTACTATGATGTTAACCATCATATTTCTCATTATTTTCGTGTATTTTTTTCTATTGGTTCCTGTTTTGAGATTATTCAATCTTCAATTTCATTCTGTATTTATTGATAGAATTAAAATTTGCATCAGAAACAACAGCAAAAAAAATAGAAAAGAGAGACACGCATACAAACAGAAAACTAGTCGGAATATGATCGACTGGACTAAAAGTAAACAATGATGAATAAATGATATTAATAATATGCACAGAACAATATTCATAGAGAAGTTGAGAAGAGACAACAACACACCGTAACAACATCTATGCAGGAATAAATAGTGTACTTTGTTGTTTAGTTGTAACAACAGAATCGATCAATTTGGTTGTATTCGATTGTTTCTAGTCACGGTGATTACTTCTATGATTTGCCGATGACAATTAAATAAACGGATGAGTTCACGGCGAAATAACTGGCTTGATAATGTGAACACATAAAAACTCATACATGCACCACCATTGGATAGAAAGGTGGTTACAGACGCAATGAGGCTGAGTCTGGCTGTTTGAAGAGCATCCAACACCACATTACTTACTACTGAAGAGTAAAAAAAATAGAAGGAATTGGGCGTTCCTGTCAAAATGAAAAACATAGATTGAACAATCATCATTTGCATCAATTGTCGATCTGTTGCTTTTTGACGGTGTTGCAATTGGTTTTGAGTTCCAGTAGGAGTATGATTAGGTATAATTCGTCTCACCGATCGACGAACATTCTGAATGGCGAGTAATCCAAAAGTAAGCATACAGACAGGTGGACCCAAACCGAATATGAATAAATTAAAAATGCCATAAAATGTTGTGTAGGTTCCTGGAACAATGGTACATGATGATGCTGTGTTCAGTCGATTATAGAAGGCAATATGCACATCAGCGAGACCAACAACCAAAATTGTCAGTAAAGTAGCACGAGTAACAACACGAATACTACTCCACGCGCGAGTGGTAGCAGACGATGAACTGCACACAAACCTATGGAAAATAAATAGATTTTATAACAAATTCAGTCAAAGTCAACTTTTAAACGGACTAATAAACATTGTTGATTAAGTTTTACAGAGACTAGTCTTTTAAAAACACGAACTACAAAATGTGAATGAAAACAAATGAAGAACTTCTGGTTTCGCATCCTACCAAATTTTTAGAGAACTGAATAAGCCATCAATCAAACTGAACTCGACCTATTTTTGAAAACATAGTCGGATGTAATGGAAATATACGTCAAAAAAATGACTGACCGAACCATCATTGATTTTGAAAAAATAGGGTGTGAGTGTGGGTAAATGTACACAACCATATCCTCACTCTTAGTTGAAGTAGAAAGATGAAAGGTAGAACTATCACTGTGTTTAGAATATCGAGTTATCCTAGTTAATCAATTGTTATACTAACCGATCGGCACAAGCAAGTACGATAAACCATGATGGTAGAGCTCTAAAACAATACAGAGAAAATATTCATTTTTATATTGTACAAACAACTTTATTACTTTATCCAATTCGAAAGCCACGATAGAATTCTGCACATTGCATCGGAGCTCGCAAAAGCATCAATTTTATATACAACTTGGAGAAGACGCAGAGGCACAAATGTATAAACTACAATCAGACCAACCACTGCCGACGCCAAAAAATACTTTGCACATGGATTTGAATAAAGTGAACGACGTGTAAACACATAAATGCTTAATATATGGCCAACAGTACCGAAAGAAAACATTGTAAAACACCAAACTTGAATAAACAGAATTCTACTGTATTTGAGGGTATTAATAGCATCTACATTAGTACTAGTAGTGTTTGTACCTGATGACGACATTTTGGTGTTGAATAATGATATACTAGAAAATACTCGGAATAAAGAACTAAGGAAGAGAAAGGAGTAAACGACAGTGAACAGGATGCCAATAACATTTCGAAGAAAATTAACTAAGAAACATAATATAAAAAGAAGCAGATTGTTTCGAGCAAAGATTTACATTGGCGATAAGTTACTTTACTCGTAAAATAAACTGAAAGTAATTCTAAATTGTCGCTCTTGTCTGCAACCTTCAAAGTCTTTGATTAATATTAGATGACCTAACAACTTTAACTTTGCTTTTTATAAACTAAAAATACTATCTCTAATTCTACCATGTTTTATGAATATCATATGTCTTTTAAGAATTTGAAAGTTACCAACTAAAACAAACAATTCTGAGGACATATTTCATTTTATATCATACTGTCAAATGTGAAAGTTCTTCCTAGATATCAATTATATTTTTAATTAAGAAAAACAGTTTTCTATAGAAATATAAGCACTTTATGCTTAGAGCTGATGTCGAAACCGCGTCATTTATCAAAATTCATTGGAAATCTAATTAATTCCTTAGAAGCTACAGGTTACAGCATATAAATATAAATCCTTCTGGCATACACCTGAATCTACTTTTATATTGTTTTCTGTGAAAGAAAAATAATTAAGTTTATCACCTACGTTTAGATTTCCATGAGACGAAAGTAACAACTCATTAATATTCTGAACACT